GGAGACGAAGCAGCAGTCCGAGCAACGACGTGCGGGCCCCTGGTCTTCTTCGCCGAGGAGTCGCGCGGTCTCCCCGGCCGCCCGCACAGCCAGGGAGGTTGGGAAGCAGCTGCCCCTTCCTCCTTCCTGTAGAGCAGCGATCTTCTTTCGGCCGGCCTGTGCTCCAGAGCCTGGCTTCTCGCGAACAACCCAGTGAGGCTGCGAATCGATGCGGACTGGCTTCGGATTAGGCAGCACCGAGCACGGCGAGGCTCCTCGAGAGTTGCTTTCGCGCGCCCTGCAGGCGCCTGGCTCCCCGTTGGAAAAGCGACGCAAGGCACCCTGCTGCCTGCACCTGGGTGCCGCACAGTCCCCGAAGCGGCCAGGTACTCCTCTTTCACTTTCCTCCTCCCGCCCCCACGTCCTTGCAGCAACGGGTCTCTTCCAAGGGGGCTGCGGAGCGAGTTCCCGAGCAGGACCAGGGAGGAAACTCCCGGCTCCGCCCCGCCTTCTTCGGACGGCACCCCGACCTCCCTGGGCGACGCGGCCGGGCTGCTGCGCAGGATCTTGGGAGAGGCGGCGCCGGTCCCCTCCCGGCCATCGCAGGGTTCCTGTGGAGGCAAATCTGAGGGGAGGGAGACCCTGAAAGCCCCCTGGGCTCCTTGCCGTGGGGGAAGCCGACCCCTGAGTAACGTATAGGATGGGGGACTTGAGCCTCCGGAGCGGTCAGGCGGCGCTGCAGGTGGGAAGGAGACTTTAGCGCCTGGACTTGGCGATCTTATGGCAACCTCTTTAGATGACCCCGCATATCGCTTCAGTTGTGAAGCGCACAGCCAACAGTCCCCATCCGCCCTTCGGTATGGCTAGAGCGGCAACAAAACTGTTGTCCAGCTCTCACTTCGAACAAACCAATTCCCGGAGCATGTGCAGAGAACTGGTTTCAATCGTCACCCCGTTCTCCAATGCCCTCAGCACCACCACGCGTTGCTCTCCGGGTGGTCATTTGCTCTCGAATTTGGTCCGAAGGGGCAATTCTCGCTGCCCCGGGACAGTCTGGCTGTTCCCTTCCAAGACCGCAACCCAACCACTGTTTCTGGACTCGCCAATTGCCTGGTTGATGACACACAGCAAAATGAAAACACACCGTAACAACAATAATTAGAGAATCGCAGTGTCTGGGGAAGGGAGAACTTTCCAGCCAAAACACGCCTTGCCTTTCCTGACAGACACAGTTATTCTATCTCTTCTCTCCTTCTTTCACAACGTGAAGGCGCTTAGGCAGGAAGTTGGGTCTAAGGCGCTTGATGCCAGACTGGGAATATGGGGGGGGGGGGGCGCACAGGAGGGCCAAACAAATCGGCAAAGACAGTTTCTAATCACTGCCTCCAAATCTGTGGTTCATTTCTTTTTCCTATTTTAAAGTGAGCTGGAGATGCCTGGATTTCTCTGGCATTCCAAATGCGAATCATTCCAAAAGAGTTTTCTTTGTGAAATTCAGCCTGGCTTTGTAATGTGGATACACGAGCCCGTTAGCTGTCTGTTTTCCTTCTTTCATCCCATGGTAAATCAGCTGTAATTCCATCTACTTTACTCCAGATCACTTCCTCGATTTCACCCGGAATTAAGGAAGGTGTTGATGAAGGCACGTCCACTTGCCTGAAGGATGGCCAATCACCATGATGGCTGGGGCATTAGGGGAGTTACCTAGTACTCTTGTGGGCCCCCAGCTGTGCAAGGCTCTCCGAGAGTATGCGACTTGGACCGGGAGGTTCAGATTCCAATCCTCAGCCTAACCTACCTGATGTGGTTGTTGGGAACATGTATGGGAGGAAGGATGGGATACAAATTCAGTCTTGTTTCAGACCAGGTGTGCTGCCGAGGTCGCTGGTTGGTTGGTTGATTTATGTCCTTTACTATGCAGCCTCCCACAATGGATGTACACAGTTATGGATACTCCACAGTTACTCTCTTTCAGGGTGAGACACTGTAGCTAAGACCTGAGAAGGTGCTGGGAAAGTGGTACAGAATGTTTGAAAATAAGCTGTTCATTAGTTCCTGGAACTGCAAGCAAAGTATGCTCACAACATCAATGCAAGAGGAGCCGGTGGAGGGGTGCTCTTGAAGTCAAGGAAATGTTCCTTCACTCTCATTCCCGTGAGAAAAATTAATCTGGTTTCACTGTCCTTATCATAACAGCTAACCTTGGTTTTCTAGCATTGACAAGAGGTCCTAAGCCAAAACAAAATGCAGCCCATCCCAAAGGACCAGACCAGACTATGCTGTGTCCCACTTCAGCCCACAGTCATGAATGCATTGACAGCTCTCTGCTTTCCTGGCCCATTCCTTCCTTTTTAATTGTGTAGTAAAAAGACTGGCAATTCAGCTTCTCTTCTGGGGAAGACAGTACTGAAAGCAAGTGTCAAATAGAGGAAACTTCCTTACAATTTGTGAGTTTTTGTTGGGTTCAGAGCACCTGCTGTTGTGATCTCACACTACACCTCCATTGGTAATATGCCTAGTAATATACCACTTGATCCTACGCCTTGAGTTCAACAGAATTTATTTCCAGGAATATGTGTGTAACAGAGCAGCTTCACTTATGGTGAAAGTTCGTATAAAATGCTTATTTTATACCATCCCCTTGAAACCAGTGGGAACCATCAGACTGAGTTACTGCTTGATTCCCTGGCTAGCCTGACCTGCTAGAACAAATTAGCAATCTGAAAATAAGAGAGCCTGGATTGGCTTGTGCATGACGATGCTCACTGGATGAAGTGATAAATGGGCAAAAAGAGCTCTTGTTTAACCTCTGGTTTCTTCAGACCTCTTGATCCCAGACTTGAAATGGAGGAGGAGGAAAGTTTTGAACCAGAGCTAATGTGACAAACAAAAAGGTAGGCCAATAATAGGAAAGTGGAACAAAGCAACCACTCCTTCTGGAGAATTTTCTTTTTCGGTTTCAGTTCATGGCCTGGTAACAGGATCTCCCCACGCTACTGCTCCCAAACGTGCTTGAGCAGAGAGAGCTCACTGGGTTGAGAGGCTGGTGCCAGCACCAGCCCGTGGTCACGGCATCTCTCCCCACCTCTCACTCCTGATTTAAACATTTCTCGCTTAGGACATGGAACCCAGCACAGCCCTCCAAGAAACTGAGGGGCTGCTGAGCTAGGAGAGCCAGTTCTCTTTCTTCTCCTTTCCCCTCTCAAGGCTCTCTAGCAGTCACATCAAGAAATGCCCTCTGTACGGAAAATGTGGCACCTTCCCACCTCGCCAAGCAACAAACAAAACAAAGTCAAGTCTCTATTTACAAAGTATTAGATATATTTTCAATTCACATAAAAAGCAGGTACTGTGTTAGACATTCAACATTGGCAGAAGACACCTACTTAAGCTTCACTTCTGAGACTGTTAGGCCAGATGAATGGTTATAGGATTTTTTCTTTTTACAAATCTTAAAGAGAATTAAATAACTCACACTCACATACATTCAATATATGTAACTATGTACATACACATATACACCCACATTTGTCTAGCTTTTATATAGCAATGTGCGTGTGTCTAGAAACACACATCCTAGGCGGTGTAACCACCCTTAACACCTGAGGAGGTAGGGACAGCACTTACAGTTTATTCCAACCAAAGAGGAATTCCTCCTGGCCTCTACCCTCTCCATCTCCCCCACCCACCCTCCAGCCTCTGTAACAGGACTAGAGACTTTTGTCAACATAATATGCTGGCAAACATCTCCTCCCCCTCCCCCTCCCCCACCCCATGTAAGAACACATCTGCAGTTTGTTACATAAATCCTTGGAATTGGCTGAAATTTAAAATATTGTCTTAATTTCATAAGGGAGAGCAGAAAACAAGAACCTGACTTATTTCCTCAGAACAGTCTAAACAAAATGCCCATGGTAATTTTGTGGGAGAAAAGAATCCCAAAAGAATACATGGAAGCGGGTAGGCGGGTTAAGAAGCAAATATTTCTAGTTGATCCCAGGAAGGGCGAAGGCCCTCCAGCTTCTTCCTACACCCACCTGCTTCCCTCCTCCCCACTTTTCATTGAGCCACATGTGCTTTCATCCCCTGTTCAGTTCCTAAATTAGAAAATGGTTTTAAAAGGTTCCAGAGAGCAGGCCATTCAGAGAAAGATGGAGAAGGCTACTCATCCTCCTGCCAGGCCCTTAGGGGCCGCTAGGCAGATTTGTGCTTTTGAACCAACAAGAGATGCTTAAATCAATACCTATTGGGACCCCACAACACCTGCTAAACATAAATGAAAAGAACCCCAAGCCCCCTCTGCATACCTCCTCCTAACAGGTTGCAGGGTAGGGAGTCTGTATTCCCATAAAGTGGAACAGAGTTAAATATGATATTCTAAACTCCTTCAGATTTCATATTGCTTTCCTCAAGGAACGGGAAAAGGGGGAGGAACTGAATTTTTGCATAAATTGGTAGGTGAGCAGAACGAGTCCTTTTTTAACCACAGACACAGGAATCACAAAAGGATGCTTCTTTCCAGAAACTGTAAGAGAAAGAAAACTAGGCATAACAAGCAGCCCACTTCAAACCTGGTCTTGCCCCAACAGCTTTAAAAAGGGAGCTTTCCCCCTGCATCTGTAAATTTGTGAGGGGGATACAACAGATGTGTCCAACACTTTAAGACTCATCCAAGAACCTGAAAAAGAACTGCAATCGTTTTGGGAGGGGGAGGGGAATCACTTTCAATATAACAGCAGGAGCACCTAAAATATGAGCAGTGAAATACTCTCCTCCCCAAGTTTTCTGGTATGTAAGGAATGTAAACAGATTTTCTTTATGGAGTGAGCAGGGAAGGACTAAAGAAAGAAAAAATGAGAGGAAGTTAAACTAAACTATCAGCTCCGTCCCTCTTCCCCCACCCCTCTTCTCCCTATGACAGTCCTATTAAAGTGCATGACGGCAGCTACACCTCTTCGGAATCTTAAAACATACATATCCCCTTTTTCCTTGCAAGAAAATGTCATTCAAGTTAATACTTCTTTGCTAAAACATCTGTCAACTGTTTTTAATGGACACTTGTTAAACCAACAACTTTTTTTTTCAAATTGGAGCAAAACAAAAGCAAGACAATACTGTAAAGTCAAGTGCTTACTTCAGCTGTCCAGCTAGAACAGTTGTGTATACAGCCCACTTGATTGTACAAAGCAACACCTTATCATATAACAATCAAAAAACTGGAGACCTTTTTGTCCCCAGATGAATATAATATCCCCTATTTGCCCTCGACATCATCTTTGGGGGAAGGGAGGTGAAACCATTGAAAAGAAAAAAAAATCAAGATGTCATAATTAGCTAATAAGGTCATTCACTATCTACACCTGCTCTTGCAGTTGAAGCAAGAGATACTTCAGTTTTCTGTTTTACTGTTCTTGTCCAAAAGCCTTAAATTAAAAAAGTAAGAGTTGAGATATATATATATATGTATATAGATATATATATGTATTTTCTTTAAATAACATATTTACATCTAATAGAAAATATAACTCTAGAGATAATCTTTCCAACCAAAACTTAAATTGGTGGTGAGGGGGGAGGGAATAAAAGAATGAATTAAGGACAGATTTTTTTCAATACTGTCCAAGAAAAGAAAAGAAAACCCAAAGCCTGCTGACCTCTGCCCAAACCCACTGGATGCCTCCTTATTTTCCTAGAAAATTCATCGCTTCTCTTTAAAGAACCCTTGGTCTGTGCTGCTCTCCTTAATGGTGACGGTCAAGAAATTTGATGTCACATCAGTCACTACTACTTTCTCCAGGTTGTTGAGGGATGGGCTCCAAGCTTCTTCCTCTGGGTCACCAAGGATCCTAGAGACAGGGATGCGAGCAATGAGGGAAGGCCTGCCAGCCTGGGTTCCTAGACCTTCTCGATATAAGCTGCCTTGGTTTGTAGAGCTGTGCAAGATCTTAGGGGCACCCAAGTCCAAGCCGCTTTGCCCTTTTGGATCTAGGAAATCTGCCCTGTGCTTGGTTAGCCTGGGAGGATAAGTCTCAGGTGCACCTAGCTTAAGGCCAGTTTCTGCTCTGGCGCTGGAAACAGCACTGGGTAACTCAGGCTCCCGCCTCCGGGCTAACTGGATCACACTATGTCCTGAACTGAACTTGGCTGCACCTGGGTTAGCTGCCTCTTCCAATTTTCTGGCTTTTAGGTAATCCACCACCACCTTGTCCCCTGGTTCCACCGATTTCCGCTTGGAGGCAACATCAGCATTTTCAGGCAGGTCTTTGTAGAGCTCCTTCCTAGGCTTTGGGCCTCGCTTTTTAAAGGCTCCGTCAGATCGGTCTTCCTCAGCCCCAACCCTGTTCTCCTGGATCGTCTCCACTCTGGAGCTGTTGGTGCTAGCAGTGGTAGAGCTGCTTTGAGGGGGCAGTGGCATTTGTCTCAGTCCTTCTCTAGCACGTGAAGTAGAGCCCAGCTCTTGGGGGGATCTTCCAGGGTAAGGAACCCGGATTCCCCTAGCAGAGTCACTACGGAATTCATAGGTTTTGGCTTTGGCTTTTGCCTGAGCCTGCAAAACACACAAAGGAACTAGATTGATTTAATAGCTTGCCACAAGTTTCATCAATGTAATTTCTAAGGCAAAGCTGGGGTTTCTCTCTTCCACATACATACGCAGTACACACTCAAAGCAGCACTCATCTTTGATCATGCCATCTTAAAAAAGAACTGGTTTTGTTGCATGTAACAATAACAGTTGCACAAAAAGTATGCCTCTCTCTCTCTTCTTCCCTTACCTTTAATAGGAAGGTTTTGGGTTTGGGACCTCGTTTCTTAGGACCATAAAGTTCCATTTCTCTTTCCCTAAAATAGGTTTTTAAGAAAGAAAAACAAACATTAACACACTTTAGAAGAAGAGAGCATTAGCTGAATAATGCTCCAAACCAGAGTAATAGGGCTGTAATAATTAAGATGGGTATGTTCCCCCACAATAGCATACCTTTCTTCAAAAGCTGCAAGCAGGCGGGCATCCAGAATATTTTCTTCAGGTTCCCAGGTACTATACCTATAGCAAAATAAGAAGGAAGTAAAAGCAAACAAAATTGAGAAGAACTAAATGTTTTTTTTTCAAAAAGCAATCCATTTTCTTATGTTCCAAAAGCTGCAAGATATCTTAAAAGTTCATCTCCTCCAGTCTTCTATTCACCAAAGCACCATACCCAGTTTTACTGCAAAACAAAGCAAGTCCACTATCATCTAAATAGAGTAGGCTGCAAGGACTGCACTGACAGTTACTTACTTCTGAGACCAGCCCTTCCATTTCACAAGATACTCCATACGTCCCTGCAGATGTCAAGAAGAGAAGACAAATTAGCATGCATTTCATAAGGAATGAGGGCGAGATGAAAGATGTTTTTTAAAAAAAATGCAATAAAACACCTATTTGCCTGCTAAAACATGCTCATAATAAAACCCAAAGGCATGCGTCAAAAAAAAATGCAAGTGGCCAAACGCGTGCCACAAAAATGCACATGCAAGCTGCAAGGGCGGAAGAGAGAGAAATCCCATCCATGAAAAAGGGGGCGTGCTGCAAAACGTGATAAAATATGCATGCAGCAATGCGTGCAGCAAAATGTATATGCAATCCAAACGTGCATGCATTTCAAGACGACGGCGACGCTTTAGATGGTGGCAATCTGCACAGCGCAAGCAGAAAGGGGGAGCGGCAGGCAGGCAGGCAGGCAGGCTCCGAAGTGCTGCTGCTGCTGCTGCAGAAAGGAGGGAGCCGAACAGGAGCAGAAGCGAAGCGAAGCGCCGCTCGTCTGCGTCTCTGCGGCCTCGCGCGGGCCTGGCGGCTCGGGGGCCGCGCGCACAAAGCCGAGGCTGCGCTGCCAGCAGCACGGAGGGCACCTACTTTGCGGATGCGTCTCTTGAGCAAGGCCTCGGCCGCGAACACCCTCTCTCCCACGGCGGAGAGCTCCATGTTTACTCGGCCGCTGGCAGTAGAAAAGCGGCGGCGGCGGCAGCGGCGGCAGCCAGCGCAGCCCAGACCATAATACTCCGCTCGCTGACGTCAGCCCTCGCCTCGCCTCGCCTGCCTCCGCACTTGTTGCTGGCCGAGCCAGCCTGCGTGCCTGCCTGCCTGGAGGAGCAGGGAGCGGAGAGAGGCCGCTGCTGCCGAAGCGCCTGGCGCTGGCTGGGCCCGGCTCTTCCCCTGCACCCGCCTCCTGCGACGTGATCCGCGTTTCAATCACAAAGGGGCGGGGCCAGGGGAGCAGGCAGGCCGAGGGGGGCGGGGAGGCCGCATCCCGGGGAGGGGGCGCTGGCGGGGAGGGGGCCTGCCGGGGCGATCGCGGGGGGGCGCGCGCGGGGGGGCGCCTTCAGCTGTCTGGCTGCGGAGGAGGGGGAGGGGTGCAAATCCAGCCAACGCTCTCCAGTCACCCCTCCCTTCCCCTTCCTCCTTCGTATGTGCGTGCGTGCGTGTGTGTGAGTGTGTGTGTGTGTGTGTACATTTGCGCGCGCGCGCCCGCAGCCTTGCTCTCTGCTGCAGCTCTCCAATCCACTAGTCCCTCGGTACCCTCCCCAGCCGTGGTGGTGGGGGATTCAGTCAATGGCATTTACAGAATCCGAAGATACGAAACGGGTATTTTTGGTTTCTGTTTTGTTTAGACCGGCTTTCGTATTCCAGCCAGAAAAACAACGTTCCTTCTCCCTCGACCTGTAAAGAACCCCCCCCCCCCACGGTCCCCTGTGACGCGGTGGGGGTCGGAACAGTAAGCGATTCGGGAGGGAAGGCACCCATACCGAAAGAATGGGAATACCGTAGCAAGTTTTCCGGGGCATATACAAATGATGGGTTGGGATTGTTGAAAGGTTTGGAAAACCGACTCTTGTGTCGATTCTCAGGCACGGGCGATCTTGCGGGAAGCTCGCCTGGATTGTCAAAAAGCCACCGCACCTCACCACACATCCCTGTTGTCCACACATTCCCGTTTTCTTTCTCCCACCGCATAAAGTGCATTTTAATAGCGGCAGGGGGCGGGACCACAATTGCCCCCCCTTCTCTCCAGCGCGCGGGCTTCATGCACCCAGCAAAAGCAGACTCCGCATTTCCTGAAGAGCAACAGCGACGTTTGTGCAGAGAAAATATTTTCAAAAAACACGCGCGCGCGCGCGCGCGCGCGCGCACACACACACAGACACACACACTGGGCTGGAAAAGTCGAATCAGCAACACGGGCTGTCCTTCTTCTCGGTGGCACCGGAGGAAAAGAGATCCTCCTCGAACTGGATTCTCCCCCGCCCATCCCGAATGGGCGCAGCCGGGCCGCTCACGGCAGCCGTGGACTTGCGCAAGCGTCCAAGCGCCGCATCCCAGTCTCTGCTCCCTTGCGCGCCCCGCTGAACCCGGGCGCTCCTGCGCTCCTCGACTAGCGAAGGAATCCGCCTTCATCTGGAGTTCCGTGCAGGAAAGTTGAAAGGCAACAGCCTTCAGTTTTATTACAACGTACTGAGCAAAACTCGGTGAACTTTGACTTCGGCATATTTTCTGCATGAGAAACGTACAGATGTATATGTGTATACAGGGAGAGGGGGGAGGGAGAGAAATATATAGGATTGGATCCAGGGTCTGCCTTCGCTGAGGATGGGCTGCGCTCGCAGATGGCTCCTGCGCCTCAGAGCTCACCCCATTCAGCTGCGTCTCCTGAGTCCGTGTAACATTTTCTAGGGGGCTCCAGCAGCTGCTCTGGGAAAGAAGGGCTGCGGAAGTCCGCTTCGGCCAGCGCAACAGATCCGGCTTGAATCTGGATCCATCCCAAAATTAAAGCAAAAAAAAAAAAAAAAAAGCACCATATAGGTATCCAGGGAGAATATCTGTGCGATTTCTTATCTATCTTGGTTGACTTTTCCGTCCTAGGTGGCCACGGGAAAGTATCTCAGCAAGAATAAAACTAAGCGCCAGCGCCTAACTTTGTGGACTACTAACTTGGAAACACCTTAAGTGGCCATAAGTGATTCTCACTTCAGAGTCGGCACGTGGGGAAATTGGAAGAGGAATGAGGAGCCTCTAAAGCTGGGAGCCTAAGTACATTTCAACTGCTATGAAATCAGTGAGATTTTTCTCAAGGAAAAGTGTTTAAGACTGGGCTGTGCGCCATGGAAATCCTAGACTTGGTGGAAGGGTGGGGGCGCGTGCGCGGGTATCTCTGCCTGATCCACGAGGCGATTACTCGGGGGTATTTTGATGTGGTCTCTAATGCAGGCTTAAGGAGAAAATGGTTCTACTTAGCTGCTCCCAGTCAGAAGGCAGAAATCTTTCTCCAGGGACAGGGGCAGACTGACCTACTACAAAGGGCGCAGAGTTTCCCTTTCGGTCCACTTGCGGTCGTGGGGATGGGCTGGAACAACGGACAAAGAGTCGAGCACAAATGTCCAGTAGACAAGTCAATCAGAGACGCATAAAGATATGCTGCCATCCGGCGCATACCTGCCTCCTTGCCTGGCTTAAGACACCTCCCTGTGAGCGAGAGACATTATCTATTAATAAAGCGCTCGACGTTATCACACTTGCAGGGGGTGCGAAGGGCGGCGGGGTTGTTTACAGATTGCGTTAAAAAAAAAAAGGCACCTCATCGGACAATAGCAGCCAAAACTTTTCTCCCTTTTAAGAAGCCAGCCTTGGACTACAAAGTCTTCTTTCGCAGCAACAAAGAGCAGTGCCAGCAATACAGCTGTTTCTGCTTAAGTTTAAATACTTTCCAACAGTTTGGGTAGTGAAAATAAAGTCGACCTCAAGAGCCTATAATACGGGGCTCTGGTTTCCTAGCTCCAAGTACCTCTGGGCTTAGCTTTTCGCAAGTCTGCTCAAGCAGGAGAGCAAAAACGGGGGCGGGGTGGGGGCGGGAGGGGAAGGTGTGGGGCATGTCACAACCCACCAGGGGCGTCAAATGGCTTGGAGGCTGCAGCGAGATTCGGGGTGAACAATGTGGCCGTGGCCGTGGGGGGGGGGTGTTGTGTGGGCGAAGGGTTCGCGATACACCGACAGCCCTGCTGCATTTGAAGACCCTTGTTGCGGAACCATCCTGCAAGCTCTCGCTTAAACCCCCTCCCCCGCCAACCGCTTTAAATCACTAATGGCTCTTTAAGAGTTCAGTTATTTGCTTTAAGATAGTATTTCTCTGTATTTCATCCCTCACTGACTTTACTGCCTCTTTACTCCAGTTAACTGTGTTTACTTTTTAGACGCTTTGAAAGGGCTCCGAGATTCAGGCGACGTGGGAAGAGGGGACGGAGATAGGGGTGGTCCCCCCTCCGCTTCAGGAAAAGGGGCTGGTATCTAATTTCCTTCTTTCTGCTAGAGAAGCTCTCATTTTAAAAGACGGACTCAACGCGAATATTGTACTTTGGTTTACAGTGATTTCTAAGTAAGTTTTGATCCAGTTTTTGCCGCCTGTAGGAGCAAGGAAGAAATCTATTCAAAAGCAATGCACAGTTTTGTACAGCTCCTAGCACCCTGCTTGAGTGAAATAAAACATCGATAGTAATGTTAAAGTGGCGGGTAGAGTGATCCCTTAGTTAGATGTACAATGATCCAAGAAAGATAAGGGAGCCGTTGCTGTTCCGAATGAAGCCGGTATGAGAACTGTTTTAACCATTTCTCTCCACGATCCTAAATGTTCCCCTTTATAGGCTCAGTAAGGAATCCTCTCTGCAGTTCAATATGAATGGTGAAAATGTCACAACCGTGGGGCTGCCAGTATTCAAAATGTCCCTAAACGATGTGGGAAAGGCGCTTGTCTTGCTGTATTCGGCTCATAAGTTAAAGCTGGGATCAGAACCACAGTACAAAAGGGGCTGCGACCGCCTAAGGAGGGCTTGCAGGATGGGGTGGGGGGTGCTTTTGCTTCGCATAACCATCGCCGGGACCCATCTTTTGCGAGACCAGTGGGATACACAATAGTAGAAGGCCGCCTGTTGGGGGACCCCACTTCAGTTCCATGTACCCCGCTGATTCCTCTTCGCCTCTCCCTCTCCCAACAAAGCACGCCATCGGTTAGGATGGACTGGAGTCTCAAATACAAGCCGGCTGGTTAATTGCCAGCCCCCTTGAGCAGAAGTGTTGCGGGGCCAGCGGAGCTTCCACAGGAGTGCGCCTCCGGTTGGATAAATAAGGTAAGGCTTTCTTTTCCACCTAGGCTGTCTCCATCTGGCTGCAATTTTGACTGTCTCGGAGTGAGTGCGTGAGCCTGTGTGAAAGTAGAAATAAAACGGCCCAGTATTGCGATTTTATGAAGAAAAAAATGCCAGCAGTTCCATTTCGGATCGTTAGCGGCGTGATAAATTAGCTTTCTCCCTGGCTTGCCTTCTCCCTCCCCTCTCCCGCTCTCTTTGTGTGCGTGTGTTTATTTAATGAAATACGGGCTGCGAGACACCTGTTTCCTTGCTGGACTCGTGGCTTTTGTTTCCGTGGGCCTGGAGCTGAAATGAGGACCGGGACGGCGTTGGCAACGGGGCGGTGCGGGGCGCAGGAGAAGGCTACCCCCGCCCCAGTTCGAGCTGAGTTTCCTGGCGGAGAGGAGGGGAGAAGAACTGGCCAGGGCTGTCTCGGCGAACGGCTGAGGGAAACCAGGAAGAGGACTGGCTTGCCTTCCCCGTGCGATCTCCCCTGACCGTCCGCTTCTTGCCCTCCTATCTCCCCCCACGCCTGGAGGGCAGCCCGGAGGGGGCGGGGGAGCCTGGCCCAATCGCAGGCTTGGCGCGGGCGGGGGGGCGGCGGCGGCGGAAAATCGCTCTTCGCAAAGGTGTTCCGGGCTGGGTGGCTGGCTGCGCGGAGCGTCTCTCGGCTTCCCCGCGCCTGCGCGCAAGGGCGAGATTGGAGGGAAAGCCCGGGAGCCGGCGCGTGTGTGCTTGGCGAAGCCGCCTGCTGCCCCCGAGCGTGCCTGGCTTGATCAGGCCAGCCCCAAAGGCGCTGGACCTGCGCGAGGTCGCTTCGCCGCGTGATCCGGGAGGAAGGGCACACGCAGCTGTTTCCGCGCAGCTCGACGGCGCCCCGCGCCCCTCCTCCGCGGCGCAGGTTAGGCCAGCACAGCTCAAGGGACGTTGCTTCGCAAACTTGCCGTCCACGCGTCTTCTCAGAGCTTTGTGCAGCTTGGAAAAGTGCGCACACTCCCTCGCAGCGTC